AAGTTTTTAAAAGAGGCCTAATGAGTCCCAATTCTTTGCTCTTTTCCAACCTACCAGATCCCTTGGCCTCTGGACTAAGCAAACACTGTGAACGTTAAAGTTCTGAACAGAATTGAGAGACTACTAAAACCAACACTAATGATAATCCTGGAGAGGAAGAGGAATGTTGGGGCCTGCAAGAAAAGTGGCCTGAGGAATCCAGTCCTTCTGTGGGGGCCACAGAAATCCGTTTTCTACTGTCTCTGTAGTAGCTAAGCCTGGCGAGACCAAGACAGCCAGAGAATTCAGCCCTTCCTTGGGAGTCTCAAAATACTTAGAGGAGTGAAGAATATGCAGAAATCTCCTCTTTGAAAATTGTATTTTCTTCTCTCCACATAAAAAAGTCCTTGTTCCCCGCTTCTATGTGATCCACCAATGTACTAAGAAAGAATCTGATGGGAGTTTGTCCTTGATAGGATCTATAGTGTAGTCAGCTGTAGGTATTCAAAGGGGGGCAAGGGGAGAAATATTTTTCTAAAATACTAATTTAAAGAACAAATCAACATCTATTATCTCCTTCATTATGTTTTAAATGGTACAACTATAAATCACCCTGCAGCGGGTTATTCAAGGGCAGAACTACCCAGCTTGGCTTTCCTGAAGGTTAGAAGAATGGCATCTTGTGCTTTTCTAGTTATAATTTATAACTTTGCAACAGAACTAGTGTTGCAGGCCCATCCATTAGCAGGGAAGCTGCACATCTGTTAAAGCTCAGCACAAAGGCTGGCCTTCCAGGGCCACAGGAAACGTAACCCAATCATTTCAGAAGTTCTATAAACTCAAGCCATTTTTTTCATGTAGGATGATTTGAAAATGCAATTCCCTAAAACATCTGCTAAGCTCTTGCTACCCTAACACTTGATATTCTTTCTCCTGTTACCTGCCAACACAAATATTTGGTTGCTCAAAACACCCTAAGAGTCACGTGATGGTGCTCAGCTTCAAATTTACATACCAGTCCGTAAGGGCTGGCTTGGTCCAAGGAACACTGGGGAAGATGTTGTTTACCAGAGCTGAAAGCTTATGTGGGGAAAGAG